ATATATGGTTACAAGTGATAAATTGAAAATTCTTTTTTTCTTTTTTTTTCCGTTTTCTTTTTTTCCCCAAAATACACTTATGCACTAGTAACTGGCATCGACGAGAAACATTCGGATATGCCGTGGGATGGGTGTCACGAGGAGAGAAAGAAAAGAACAAAACGTTCCCAAGGTTCCTGGGAGTGAGCGATGCTCCAAGCCTGGATTCAGCCCTCACTCCCTGCCCAGAGCCGGTGCAGCACGGCTGCCCTTGCCAGGGCACAGTGTTGGTGCCGAGGGTTTCCTGGCACAGCCAACCTCACCCTGTGTCAGTGCTGAGGGTTCTGCACATGTGGCAGCCCCAAGCTTTCCATGAGGTCTTCCCACAGGGTTGCAGTCCATCCCTGCTCCCATGGAGGTTTAGCCCTTTCCTCGGGGACGTGGGGTTTCCACAACAGTGGAGATGTAGGACCACAGTGTCACTGTCCCCAGGGTGACAAAACCCCCAAACCCTATGGGTGATGGAAGGGAAGAGGACATGATGCCTCGTCCCCCACCTGTTTCCACAGCCTCTGCCCATCCCTCTGGATCCAGGTGGTTTCCCAATGGCACTGCCTCACCGGGAGCACCTGAAGGGGCACAACCTGCTGGTCTCCAGCAATGCCACTGTGGCATCACTCGGCCCTGCCTGCTTGCCTGCCACTGTGCTGGCAGCTTCCAGTGATACTGGAATCACTCTGGAACCTTCCCAGGACAAGCAGGAGAGCAAAGGATATCTCATGGAAAAGGTGAGGGAACATGTTCCTCTCTAATTAATGACTAGCAGGAAAAACACCTTTTTAGGGGAAAAAAACCCTGAAGACTTCACTTTCTCATAGAAATTCCCACCTGACCATGGCACTTCCCTCACTGGAGCTGTGAGCATCTCCCAGCTCCGAGGGTGACAGGGACAGCCCCAGCAGCAGGACTACTGCCTTCACTAACTACCCTGAGACCCAGATGGTGCCCAGCATCCCCTCCAGGCTACTGCTCACCCTAGGATATTCCTTCACAGACACCAGTTAAGGAAGCAGTGGCAGGTTTCGATCCAGACTCAGTGATGATCTCCCAGACTTTCCCTGGGTCTCCCCCACCCTGAGCAGCTCCTGGTGCTCCCCCCACATGGAGCAGTGCTGCCTGTTGATTTAATCAATGAAAAGCCAATTAATTGCACGTTAATGAGAACTGAGCCCTGGGCTGTGCCCAAGGGGAGGTGGTGGGGATTGTGCAGTGACTGTCCAAACCAGCAGCTTGGACCACCTGGGTCCTGGACACGGACCTGGACATGGAGCTTTCACAGAGGCTTTCCTCCACAGTGGGATATGATTTGGGGATCCAGTGGCTCCCTCTGCCCCTTCACAGAGATATCAGCGTCAGGGCCCCAGCTCTGCTCCCCCCCCCCCCCCCCCCTCCTCCTTCCTGCCACTGCCTGCACATCTGGCAGATCTGGAGCATCCTCAGGTGCAGGGTCACTGCCTTCCCAGCCATTATGGCTTCAGCTGAGGGGACATAGGGCTCAGCACCACAAAACGCCGTTGCCAGGACAGTGTCCCCATGTTTCCATCATGACACAGAGCGAGCAGCTCCAAGCACGTGTCCCACAGCTCCCAAAGCTCTCCCCCTTCCCCAGGGAGGTAGGATCTGCCCCAGCGACACCATCCAAACACAGATCTGATGAAGATTCAGAGAAGCTGCCTTGGCTTCAGATACCACCGCCCCTTCCTTCCCTGGCTGGAATAACCTGCCAGTGGAGGATATTAATTATGACTGAGCAGCTCCTCGGAGCCGGGAATGATACCAAGCCTCCAGCGGGTGGCGAAGGAGCAGTAGAGGAAAGCGAAGATTGAGGTTTGAATTGATTAAAGCAAAAGCAGAAGCTCCCCCCTGATGCCACCTTCCCAGCTCCGCACAGGGGAAAAATTGAATTAAGGTTTTCTGTTCCATTACCAAGAGGAAACATGCCTGTTTCCCAAGGACCGAGGTAGCCTGGTTTTGTCTGGAGATGGACACATCCCGGTCCAGGGATGGTTCCCTCCTGGCTGGAGCGAGGTGTGATGACAGTGTTAGCACAGGTGCCCGGGGGAAGAGCACAAGCAGGGATGGCACCACAGGGACCTGCCATCCTGAAGGGATGGTCAGGGGCTCAGATGCATCTTTGGGAGCAGAGACCCACCCATGGCGGGTCCTGGCCCAGAGGGACAAGGGGAGTGCGAGGTGCCTGGGCAGTGGCTGGGCTCACCCCAAACCAGGACCCGTGATTGTCTTTTGATGCTGCCCCTGTCCCAGTCACACACCTCCAATGCCACAGCTGGGAGACTGAGACCCCATTCCTCCCTCCTGGGTGATCAGCACCTTTGGGATGGAGCATGACGAGACCCTGAATCATGCTTGGATGCCTCCTGGCCAAGGGGGGCAGCTTGATGGCTGCTATCTCCCCCTGAGCCCAGCACTGCCATCGCAGTGCTGCCAGCACAGCACTCCATGCCCAGCTGTGTTTGCAAACACAGCCTGAGCACCGAGGCACAGCTCCCTCATTGCACCCCCTCTGCGGACTCACCACCACACTCCACAGTGCCCTTGGCATTTCCACAACTTTCCATTAAACTCTCCAACATGACCAGTCCTACAGCATCCCCTCTCCAGCTCACACCTCCCACAACCCCAGCCCCATGCCATGCTCCTCTGCCTGTGCCTCGCCAGCCGAGACAAACCCTGCAAAGCCGACACCCCGTGGAGCCAGTCCCTGCCAAACACATTCCCCCTCGACCTGAGGCCGTGGGGAAAGCACTGCTGACACCCCCAGCATCCACTGCCAGACCTTCTGCCCGACTGGGTCAAACATCTTTGGAAACATCGCCCTGGAGCCGGGAGGCTGGAGCCCACCAGAGGCCGCTGGACAGACAGGCAGCTCTCTGCCCCAGCACAGCTGCTGCTGGCAGAGGGTCCCTGTCCATGGGACCCCACACTGCTATTGCACTTCTCTTTCACTCAAGCGTCACCAGTTTGGTGCAGGAAGTGGGGAGGGGAGTCACGGGCCGGGGGGTCCCACCGAGGGGTATGTACAGGGGCAGGGGGTGGAGAATGGTCCAGCTTCCTTGATCCTGTTTGTTTTCCAGTGTGAAACAAGGTCCGTGACTTGTTTAAAGTGGTTAATTGGTATTTTCTGTCTCTTTTTTTTTTTCTTTTTTCCTTTCTTTTTTGTAAAAAGGGGGTGAGAGGAGGGTGGGGGAAGGGGAGGTGGGATGGAGAGGAGAGGACATAAAACTGGGAGAGACCCCCACCCTGTTATCCTGGGCTGTAAACGAATCCTTGGAGACGAGTCTCTGAGCTGCTCATTTCTCGGGCATCTTGCTG